AGTTTGTGCCACGCCTGCCACGTGAAACGAAGGTGGATGTCACCAAGTGCCACGCCTGCCACGCAAAGTGCCGCGGCGTCCCGGGCGTCACAGGCGCCAAATCCCGGCCCAAGGGCGCCACCCAGTACCATAAGTGCCACGCCTGCCACACAAAACGACCGTAGATGTGAGTTTGTGCCACGCCTGCCACGTGAAGCGAAGGTGGATGCCACCAAGTGCAACGCCTGCCACGCAAAGTGCCGCGGCGCCCCGGGCGTCACAGGCGCCAAATCCCGGCCCAAGGGCGCCACCCAGTACCATAAGTGCCACGCCTGCCACGCAAAACGACGGTGGATGTGAGTTTGTGCCACGCCTGCCACGTGAAACGAAGGTGGATGTCAGGTTGTGCCACGCCTGCGTGTGTGTGCGTGTGTGTGCGTGTGTGTGCGTGTGTGTGCGTGTGTGTGCGTGTGTGTGCGTGTGTGTGCGTGTGTGTGCGTGTGTGTGTGTGTGTGCGTGCGTGCGTGCGTGCGTGCGTGCGTGCGTGCGTGCGTGCGCGTGCGTGGGCGTGCGTGGGCGTGCGTGGGTGTGTGTGTGTGGACAAAGTGTGTGTGGACAAAGTGTGTGTGGACAAAGTGTGTGTGGACAAAGTGTGTGTTGATAAAGTGTGTGTGGACAAATTGTGTGTGTGGACAAAGTGTGTGTTGATAAAGTGTGTGTTGATAAAGTGTGTGTGGACAAAGTGTGTGTGGACAAAGTGTGTGTGGGTGTGGGTGTGTGTGGGTGTGTGTGCGTGCGTGTGTGTGTGTGTGTGGACAAAGTGTGTGTTGATAAAGTGTGTGTGGACAAAGTGTGTGTGGACAAAGTGTGTGTGTGGGTGTGGGTGTGTGTGGGTGTGTGTGCGTGCGTGTGTGTGTGTGTGTGGACAAAGTGTGTGTTGATAAAGTGTGTGTTGATAAAGTGTGTGTTGATAAAGTGTGTGTGGACAAAGTGTGTGTGGACAAAGTGTGTGTGGGTGTGGGTGTGTGTGCGTGTGTGTGCGTGCGTGTGTGTGTGTGGACAAAGTGTGTGTTGATAAAGTGTGTGTGTGTGTGGACAAAGTGTGTGTGGACAAAGTGTGTGTGTGTGTTGACAAAGTGTGTGTTGATAAAGTGTGTGGACAAAGTGTGTGTGGACAAAGTGTGTGTGGACAAAGTGTGTGTGGACAAAGTGTGTGTTGATAAAGTGTGTGTGGACAAAGTCTGTTATAAAGTGTCTGTGGACAAAGTGTGTGTGGACAAAGTGTGTGTGGACAAAGTGTTGGAGGGCGGGAGGAGGAGGAGGCGGAGGAGGCGGAGCCCGGGATACAGAATCAAAAACAAGAACCCCACACAAAGATGTGGGGAAAAATCGATTAATCCGAAGAGTTCTGAAGAGGTTGGGCCTCAGTAGGAAGCTGTTGACGAGGTGATGCCAGGCGCCTCAGATTGGTCATCCAGACGAACCATTGCCCACGAGAGGCAGTACAGTAACTTGATGTAACTTGAAGCATGTTCAGCATTGCCATCCCTAAACCTGCTGAATCTGCTGAATGTTGAGGAAAGGGACCGCATGGCGCCGGACAACGCTGCGACTCCAGAAACTCGCACCTGCAAGAAAAATGATGAAACATGTGCGCAAAGCATATCAAAGTATGACAAATTTGTGGAAAAGTGAAACACCAGTGGAACATAGTGGAACACATTGGAAAACAATCCATTGTGTGCGTGCCTCTGGAATAAGTAAAGGAGCGCTGTTCCCATGGTCTGGTCCTGTGCAGCATGTTGCAGCATCAAGGGCGCTTGACAAAGCCCAGCAAGTCCACATTTTGTTCACGGTGAGTTCCTTGCCTGTGAGTTTCACACTGGGTTTCTCATGGTTTCTCTATGGGTTTCAACCCAGACGCCTTCGTCTTCAGGCGCTTTTGGAGGTCTGGGAAGACTGCTGCTGCGGCCTGGTCCAACATTGCTGGCATATTATATTAACATCGCTTCCACATCTTCCAGCATCTTCCAAACATCCATGCCAAAAGTATCCAAAAGTTGTATCAAACGCCAAAAAACGTGACCATCGTGACCTTGTAATTGATTGTACAGTAATTGTATGATTGATTTGTATGATTTGTATGGCCCCTTTGTATCGAAAAGTCTCCGGTGTCTCCATGTGTCTCGGTGCTTGCAATGCCTTGACGGAAGGAGGCGGCCTCAAGTCGAGACATTCAACACAGCCTTCATGCAGTTAATGTGTTTACAGTATAGACTAGCGGATGTGAGAGCGAACTATTGCTTTCGTCCCTGATGTGTCCTTGATATCTTTGATACTCGTGGGCTTTTGACGATTTTCTTTGGGCCACTTTGTGATTCGAAGGTTCGAACTGATAGGCCTGGGCTGCTGTCGCTGGACTGCTACCCCTGGAGTTGAGACGTGGTGGTCGACCTTCCGCAAACCTTGGAACTCTGCCGGTCCGGTCCTCAGTTTCCGGCTCTTGGCCAGGTTGATAGTATTGATCAATGTATCAAAGTATTTATAATTTATAAGTATTCAAATATATATATATATAGATATAGATATAGATATAATATAATATATATATAATATAATATAATATATATATATATATTATATAATATAATATATATATATATAATATATTATATAATATATATATAATATATATAATATATTATAATATATATATATATTCGAGAAATAGTCAGCGTATGTCAGTCTCAGTTTAGACCTGCCATCTGGGATCTCACACGGCATGGAGGGCGCCCTCATTGATGGCATGTGAGAAGGACGCAGTTCCAAGACGGCCTAAAGTTGCAGACTATGCGCGGCTTTAATCTGCAAGTATCCATGCGTGCAAAACTCTCAAAAGTCTTCCACATCTGAGATGGACCTCCGTATTATTATAACTCTGTACCTCTACCATTCTGCATTGGATGTACCGGTGTCGCTGCTTTCGCAACACTGCATCTAGATGCATCTAGGACAAGTACCTCGCAAGCAGAGGAAAAGAGCACCCGCGAATAGGCCTCAGTTTGACAATTTTAGATTCAAGAGGAGCGTGCGTTTTACAGCAATGCCTTGACTTTTGTGATGCCGCTGATACCTCATGTTTCAGTCTTTCAAGACGAATACAAGAGGGTCATCAAAACATATCAAAACATATCACCATCTGTAGACGCCGACGGCCAAAAGTTTCCCACCTCAAAGGTCTGGATCCAACTGCGTCTTGATGGCTTTTGATCCTTCAGATCCTGGTGTGGAGCTCAGAAAAGCGGAAAAGTTATGACAAGTTCACATCAGGGCCATCCAAACCCAACTGTTCTGAGTAATTACAAGTAACAACTGTACAGAAACGCCTTAAGCAAAACCAATGGAGGTGAAATTTGTGATGTTGTTTTTGTCCTTTGAAGCTTGTTTATTGCCAGTCTGAGAATGTACCAGATGTGATTGGACATGGACTTGAACACTTTCAGTCGTCCGGATTCCTCCAACTCACGCTGGAAGGCATCCAACAGAACCTGACCGTGTGCGCATTGAATGATTGCAGCATGCTCTGGCAGCATAATTTTCGCAGAGCTCACCAGGACCGTTCCAAGTAATCCCAACCATATAGCTGTCATGTGCATTGGCTACTTATGTCCATCTGGATGCGCAGCACATTCCTGGCCTGACCAGCCAATGGCAGGCGCCAAGCCAAATCCTTTCGGTCAAAGCTATGCAAAGGAGTCACTCAAACTGGCCACATCAAGTCGTGGCAAGCAAAAATCTGTGCGTAAGCAACACATGTGCACGATGGAAAGCTGGAATTGACAATTCAGGCCCTGGCGCAAGTCCACGCAACAGTGGATCTACACATGCTCTCCTTGGCCCAGCACAAGTTGTTGAAAGGCATGGCACACTCACCAAACGGCATTGAGGTCTCAACACATGCGCTTTTTGCGCGTTGAAACTCCCATGCCCAACCTTGACTCCTGGTCATGTCCAAGGTAAGGTGGTAACAAAAACATACAAAAACTATATAGAATAGCAGCTCGATCAGAACACACACTGGGCTTATCTGTTAGCACTTGCACTGTCCTGTCACGAAGGGCTTGGGAGATCTTGCTGATCTCTGGTTGCACCCTTTGAAGCGCCTCGCGAGCCTCCGAAGCATCCGTACAACCGCCGGTGCTGCACACAGACCGAAGAGCACGAGCTTCGCATTTCGACTGGGACAGCAATGTGCCTCTGCCACCTCTCTCTCGGCCAAGCTCTCTGCTCTGGTCAGCAACTCAGCCAACCTGGCAAGGATTGGCAAGGAATACAGAAATACAGAGGATCATTCCATCTTGGATACCTTGAATCTCTCGAATGCAACCATCCAGTGCGTTTTATTTATCCGATTTTCCAGCTAGACAGCATCAAAAGCTTGCCTTGCTGCAGCTTCTAACTTGACCAGTTCCGCCTGAGAGGAAACTGCCCATGCCATTTCTCCCCTGACTCTCATAGCTTGGTTTGGCTTGTGTTGCCAGCCTTTGTATTTGCATAGCTTTCTTATGCTTTCTTGGACCCCGGCCTTCCCACTGATTTCCGCCAGATCTGAGCCACCTGTAGGTTAAAAGAAGTGGTTCGCACAGAGAAGCTGGGTCAAAAGAAAGCCCAGCGAATTGAATTGTCTCCAAAGCCAAGTCAGATAGCGAACCAGGTCTGTCCGTTTCAGGGTGAGGAAATGATAGACTCCCCACATCTCCCCACCTGCAACTTGCAGAAATTCCATCCTCAGAGTTCTGTCGATGCATCCAGAGTTGTGGATGACAAAGCCACAAAATGACGCAAAAATGGCGCGCAGTTGATTGAGTGTTGCAATTCTGCACTTTGCCTTGCCAATTCTACCATCAAAATCCACATACGAATCTGCAGGCATAGCCAAGCGGCGTGGGGAGACCAGCCTCAGGTCGTTTGAGTGGACCCATGTGGACCCATAGCTCATGACATCCGGGACTACAAATGGCTTAACAGCTGTGTGCTAAGGACCAAACCTGCACAAGGGGCACGCCCTCGCCTGCAAAAAGGATCCCAAACTTGACGCTGAAGTATACTTAAGTTACATAACTAGAAATTGCATGAAGCTTCATTCTCTGACAACAGATTCTTGTTCTCTCTCATTGTGCTATGTTGACAATATGATCAATCTGTAAAGCGTGGTGGCCTGATGCATGCGAGCCAACCACCTGAAGAACATGATCCCAAGAAATGTCCAGACTCAACAACTGGTGGACACAAAACAGTACTGCTCCAAGGAAATAACAGGAATGATAGACGCATCATGATACAGCACATATATCCAATCAATATCCAGAAATATGCCCCAAACAAATCCAAACAAGATAGTCACAAAATGTCACAATATGTTCGTGATGCCCTTTGCCTCCTCAGGCGATTCCACTGCTGCAGCCATTCGGAAGCATGCACGAACCAAGCCAGAACTGAGACTTCCCATTGTGCCTGGCTTAAGGGTTGACTGAAAGTTGAGAAAAGAACATGCATTGTCACAGCAAGTCCATTTCAGCAGTTAACAGTTTGGTTTAATGTCTCTGACTGTCAGAAACCAATTCCTTTCAATCTTGGCTGGCACGACCTAGCACAGACAGGGCTGTAGGGCCAAAAGGTATCACTCTCACCATCCGGGTGGTGAGGGACACCTCCCGAAAGGAGAATGTCCGACAGTTCATACAGCTCTTGCAAAGGAGGCAGTGTTTCATTGAGATCATGGTGGTTGTGCAGGAAAGATTCGAAAGAGGGGGAAATACCATGAAATACCGATCTCACCAAAACATTCCACCGCATGTCAATGCATGCCAAGGGTGGAAGTCGCCGTATTGTGGTCCCTCTCTTTGCTTGAAGGATATTGTATGTATGATTGCATGTGTACAGAATAGACATGGAGAACACAGCTAATGATTTTAATGGATTTTAATGGGAGCTTCAAAAATAACAAGTACTAATTACACATTACACTCAATACACTACTTACATCTAATTACATCTAATGACATCTAATCTAATTACATCTCATTACATCTAATTACACTAACAGGAAAGAGATCACTCCATTTCCAGCCAAAGTGCGGGTCCCTGCAGCAGCCGGTCGCAATGTCCGACCAGGATCACCTTACAAAAGTCATGGCATGTCATGGCTACGCTCATGTTGTCGCATGTTGTGGTGCAGTTTGGTTGCGCCTTCAAGGTGCCTTCGGATTTCAACGGCTCTGAGAGAGGCACAGTGGCCGACCGGGCTGCTTCGGCGCGACCAAGCATGAATCGTACCACTGCAGTGTCACTTCCGGGCACAACTCGTCTGGCAACCCCCAGAGCTGCTGAGCGGCCTGGTGAGATTGATGAAATTGATAAAATCAGCAGCTCAGCAAAACCAAAATATCCAAAATGAAACCAATGAAGCACTGTGGCAGAGCCTGCATCAGCGGCTCTTAAGCCCAAAGAAACACCCGCACTGGCCACGCGAATTTCCAGAGATACAACTGTCACAGCTGCATTTACCTCAGCAACCCCACCCTGACTTCCCGTGGGACGATCTAGCATTCAATGACATTCAATGTGTATATCACGGTGCATCTCTTTGTTCAATTTCATGCAACATCAAACAACTTCCGACCTGCATCCTGCATCAAATGGAATCAAATGCAAATTTTGAAACATGCTGTAAGCATCTGTAAGCATCTGTAAGCGTCTTGCCGCCTTTCCAGTTGCTCGCAGCCACAGGCCTGGCGGACATCGCTTTCAACATCTTCCAACACCAACTGGGCACTGGTGCGCCGAGCTTCACACCGCCAGCGAACAGTGCCACCCGTCCACCAGGTAGTCGTCGAATCACAGCGCGAAGGTCCTACAAGTCGCTGACTCGAAAGATCCAAAGCTCCGGAAGTCCAGGGAAGAACTATGAAGAACTCCCCTCCTCCACTGGATCGGCGGAGTCCATCGCCTAAAGTTTCTCAAACTGACAAGGAAATGAATGGTATGACTTCGGTATGACATGACATGGTATGCGAACATGAAGATCATCTTAGCATATCTTAGCCATCTGCCCTGATCACTCCGTTTCCCTGCAACGCATTCGAGCGAAAGAGACCCGCAATGATTTCCATCGCTTCATTCTAGATTCATTTAGATTCTACGTAGTATCTAGATTCATCTAGATTCTGGATAAGTCATGATGATTCTACGTAGTCTTCATGCTGTGTGATATCCTGGCCTTCAGCGTGTACTCTGAAGGCTCTGTGTCTTTCTCGCCTTCCCTCGTGTTGCAGCAATGCATAATGTAAGTCCACATAGGGGAAATGGCACGTCTTACTCTTTGCCCGCAATGAGTGCAATTTGAAATGAGAGTCGGGCGAAACAGGCGACAGTTCATGCAGCTCTTGCAGAGGAGGCAGCGTTTCATTGAGGTGGTCCTGCAGGAAAGATTCGAAAGAATCGTGCTGAAATGCAAGGGACTGCAGCTCTCTTCAGGCTCCTTCCCTGCCTCTCGAATTTTCTCAAGAGATGACACAGGTGCCAGTTCAGATCCGCTCCTTCAGCGTTCTTCATGTAAAGATTGCAAAGTACTTGACAAATTTGACAAGAGAAAACATGTGCAGACTGCGCAAGGTAGGCTCCGGACGGTCGTTTGGGTCTCAGGATTGGCTTGTGCCGTTTCAAGGTCCCCAGTCCTTGCTGCAGATTGCTGCAGGATTGATCGACACATCGACACCGTCGATCAGTGTGACGTCTGCCTGGGAGCCCCTGCTTGTGTATCCTGTTGGCGTACTGTGCGTCAACAACTTGTTGATTTGTGGGTGCAGCAAAAAGAAGAAAGGAAACATGCCAAGACCTTGGAGTTCATGCTGCAAAACATTGGGGAAGTAGCAATTTGACAGGAACATCAGGAACCCACAGCATTTTGTGCAAAAATGGGCAAAACATGGCAAAACATATTGTTATTTTAACAAAGCTTACAGAAGTGCATGGTTTTGGCGTTGCTTGGCAGCTTGTTTCAAGAGTTAAAGCAGGTTCTGTTTCACAGCTATTTCTCCAACTCAGCTCGACATCTGAGATTCTCACCGAAAATGGTCCGTGCCCAAAAAAAGTTTTCTGCAACCCGCCAGTGCCAAATCTCTTCTTCTGAACCTGGAAAAGAATTTGTAGGAAAAGCAGAGCGGCAATACAGCAGCATTTTGGACACAGGGCCCATGCCGTTATTCCAAGAAAGCGCCACTGCGTCTCTCAAGGACCTTGTGAGATGGACATCCCGCGTTTCAATCTTTCATCAGAATGGTACAATCCAGGCCCCCCACAGTAGAAGGAAAATGCTGAGACTGAAGGCAAAAACCAAGAGGTTGTACCTGAACGAGGCTTTCAGAGTCTTGGAAGAGCTGGTTGCTTTTGCATCCTTTGCCCTTGGAACTTGGAGTATCTTGGAGTCTTGAGATGGCGACTGCAGCAATGCGTTCATGCGGCCACCCCGATGTATGTCCTTCCGATTTTGTTCATGCTGACAATATTTTGACACATTCTGAAAATGGCAGTGGCCTCAAGACCATCCGGTCCTCACTCTGGGTCTCTTGCGCAGGACCTGCACAACTCATGCACAAATCACGGCAAGAGCTGATGGATCCGATGCAAAGTCATGATTCATGATGGTTGTGACTGCTACGATTGGTCACGTGTTTGTTCGACCTGGTGCCGCTGTGCTGCGATTCAGGTATGGCAAGCTGTGGGGCAGCAAAAGAAAGCAAACCTCAAGGAAGGACAGTGATGAATCAGTGACATGATTGACATGCGATCCAACACTGCTGCAGCATGACGCAAAAGTTTGGAATTTAAGCAGAAAAGCGCCCCCTGAGTTTCATGCTGCCCAAACCAGCACCTCGCAACCACTGTCCAGTGCTGTCCTAATTTCAAACCTGCTCTATATACAATGATGGTGTGTCAGGTGTCCAACCAGCAAGCACCAGGACCCTTTCCATCCGTGAAGAAAACACATAGAGCATGCACAAAGCAAGCAGATCAACGAGATTCAATGAGTTCAACAAGCAGAATGAAGCAGAATGAAGCTACAAAGTACAATGCACCACAATCCACAGCTACGCAGAGCCTCCTGGTAGAGGTCCAGGATCACGTAGGCGCTACTGACACCTATGACAGTGGAAAAACATTTCGATAGCAACAAGTCAAGAATCCAAGAAATTTGTCAAGGTTTATATAGTTTTGTGCAATTTGTTCTGCGCTGTCGGATTCGAGACTTAAAACTTCTAGAATTGAGATTCAAGCTGGAAAAAAAAAACACATTTTTTTCCAATAGTGTTCTCATTTGGTTGCGCGACGTCAGAGTGCCTACTGAGATCCTGCTGTAAGAATCTTTTCAGTTCACTCTACAAATCAAAATTACCTGGAATTGTTTTTGTTCAGATCATGTTTTTGCTGCCTCCCATCCTTTAACTGATAGATAGAAATTGATAGGGGAAAGGACATGACAATTGAAACTTAATACTTCAAAATTGAACATTTTGGAGTGACCGTCATAGGAATTCATAGGGAAGAAGGGACATGAGAATAGAAACTTGCTACTTCAGAATTGAGCATTTTGGAGTGACCGTCATAGAAATTGATAGGGAAGAAGGGACATGGCAATTGAAACGAAACGATTTAATAGCAATTGAATTGTAGGTTTTTTTTCTCTGTTTCATCTCGCTACGCCAACTATTCGTCAGTCCAATTGATAGACAGATCTCTGGCCAGATCGCACATTGTTGAACACGATGCCAACAAAAAAGAACTGTCACAATGATCGTCAAATGCAGATACATAAGGTATCCATAAAGCAAAAAACTTTGTGACAATACTACATATCTGCGATCGCTGGAAGCTCTTCCTCTTCGTCTTCCCTCAATACATCCAGTTCTTCAAATCGTTGATTCTTGTTAAGAACATCCATGTCTACTTCTTGACACAACCATAGCAGTCTCATGCTGCCCATATCTGAGCTTCGAAAACCTGGAAACCGAACTGGTTCATGAAACCAATCTTCTATAGACCACGTTCCGAAATGTGGCCAACCATTTTGTGCCCGTTGGGCAACCAATGTGTCTGTTAGTGATTAGCGTTATATAATGCGAAGTAAATTGATGTGCCCAAAGGGCAACAATTAGTGAAAAACATGATTAATTACCATTATGCCAATGAGCGACTTCATTGTGTTTGAGCATTCAACCACCATGCAATTTGTTCATATCTGAGCAACTATCTTCTCTTCACCTAATACAGTGTCAGACCGCGATAATGCAGCAACTGTCAAACTAAGGAATGTGCCAGTTCCAGGAGCGCCTCCTGTGGAGCATGTGCCACTTCTGGCCTTGATTCGCATCTCGATTCGCATCTTTCGCTCGAAGCAACTGGATGTAACTCGTGATGCAGCTGGATAATCTGGATGTACCTCGTGTAAATTGTGTAAATATTGGTGGATGTAACTGGGGCACGCTGGGGCATCTGCACAGAGGTAGTAGATCAGAATTCCGTAGACCACTTGCCCAGCCTAGGACTGAATGAAACTGCAAAGATCTCCACTTGACACATGCTATGGAAATGCAGACAACAGGAGTAGCAGTACCAAGTATGACGAGAATCTCAGCTTAATTGATTGGGTGCAAGCATTGAGTCCCAGACACCATCTGAAATGCTTGCCTTGGAAAGAAAGCGGCAATGGTGGGCCAAAGCATGCAGTGGGACCAATGCACAAAAGCTGCACAAAAGCTTCACAAGCAGCCCAAGCGGAGACAAATGCCGACAGGTTGCTGTTCCCTTGAAAGCAAGGATGAACTGTACAATTTGGTGCTCATCAGGTGGCCAAGGGAAACAAAGACACAACAATAAAACCTCAGCGCGACGCTGGCTCAAGGAGTCTGATCCATGCTCCATGTTGAGCTGAAATGAGCTGAAAAACAATGAAAATGCTCTGGCCTCTGAGGGCATGTACCTGCAATTTATATAATTCATATTAATTCACTATAATTTCATACTTGCCTATGGGTAGCAGTCACTCCAGTGGCATGTGTGAGGCAAAATTAACCTGTCACCTGAGGAATCAGCCGTGTAGAAAAGCACTCGTAGGAAAAGAAAGGGGCTAAGAGAAAGTAGCCTGGCTTGAATGATCGCTGACTGCCATTGAAATTGCTACCACCCCGTTATTTCCGAACTGCGAAGATGCGCAAATCAATCAGGCCGTTGCTTACAGCAAGCAAATATCAACAGGCTCGTGCATGTACATCTGGAAGATGGACTTGTCACCTGCAGGTCAACAGAAATGTGATTCTAGTCATATTATATGGTATCAAAATTGTAGAGTGCGTAGCAGCTGAGACTCACACACGGCCAGTAGTGGTATAAAAAGAATGCCCTGAACCTCAAGGCAAATGAGTGTCACCATGCAAAACTACTCAAAAACATGACTGCCAGTTGTTGTATCAAATTCAACAGGATGTCTTCAATCACGCAATGCGCAAGAGTTGCTCATGCTGCTGGCACTTACAAGAAACTGAGGACTTCACTGCGCTGCTCTTCGAGCAAGTGCATTTCCAAAGGCACCACCTGCATAGACTTGGATCCGATCACCGATCCGATTATCCGATCAGCTGTGACCGGATGCAACCGACTTGGGCTGAGCTCAAGAAGCATTGGAGGTCTGAAAAGACGTTGAAAACCACTTGGTGTCTTCTGAGAACATCACAGGAAAGTCGTCGGCGCACTGCCTGCAAACCGCAAGGGTTGACAGTCAAAAGCTCCATTCCCTCCACTTGCCAAACAAAAGGCCTGCAGCTTCCTGTAGTCTATGATCAGCACCTCAGATTACAAATAGTCACTGGTAAATCGCAGCAAATCCTATTGAAAATCAAAAGTTCCACACCAAAATCTTCCCTCATCGCCTGCATAGCCTCTGCCTCTGTCTGAGCTGGCAACTAACTCACCCTTTGCTCCAAGCAACGGCTCGCAGCGATATGCAAGCCTCGTCTTCGGCTGCAAATTCGCTGAATCTTGCTTCATTTTTCTGGTGACAGCATCCCTTTGCAGCTTAGGAGCTGTGAATTGCCTGGGCCAGTCGTTAACACTGCCGGTGAACCAGCCTGAGCATCCAGTACTCAAAGTGCAGCTCTATAAAACTTGAAGAAACAGAATGCTAAGCGAAAGCATCACTGAACCAAGGGATTGGCTGGCGAAATAAGATCCTCTAGCGGCAACGATACATAGCCCAGCCGTGTATCGCTACCTGCGTGTCTGCCCAGATGCAACTATCTTCTCTTCACCAAATACAGTGTCAGACCGCGATAATGCAGCAACTGTCAAACTGAGGAATGTGCCAAAAAGTGGTGCTCTGCTCATCACCTCGAGCTCAATGTTGCCTCGCTATGAGCAAAGTCCAACTTGCCCAGACCGGCTTCAGCTCGGCCGTGCACGGCCTCTTGTTGAGACAACCGGAAATTCCATCAGACAGTTCCAAGCTGGGCGGAGGTTGCTCCTGCACCGCAAAGTGTCTCATGCCACAGCTGCTTCCAAACAGCTATATATCTTACATATATAATTATATGTATATAATTATATATATAATCATATATATATATACATATAATTATATATTATGTATATCAATATACATATATATATACGTAAATTATACGTATATATCATATAGCCTCTATCAGCTATCAAAATCCCCCAAACAATAAGGATCCGTCAGGATCATTGTGTGCATTGTGCCAGTGGCTGCCAGTGTTGCTCCAGACGGTTGGACTGCGCCGAACATGTTCGCCCAAGCGCCCGCGCCTCGGCAAAAGAAAGCAGATGCAGTGTCAAGCCCGGAGCTTCCAACCCGAGGGCCGTACACATACGGATTTGTTCCAATGCCATGGACCGGTTTCAGGTCACGGGCTTCAACTACAAGAACCTCACAGAATTTCTGGAATTGACACGAAATGATGTTTCAAGTAATGTTGTGACATTGATATGATACATGTGATATTGCAACTAAATACCACCGTTTTCCACGGGTGCTGAATCTATGCAAACAGTAGATCAGAGATCTCCTGCACCAATCTCAATCTCATCAAATATTGTCACAGCATTCAACCCATGATCTTGGCAAAGCAAGCCTGGAGCATACCAGTAGCCTTAGATGTCTGCCATCAACACAAGATGGGATGAGCGAGTCGCTGAGGGCTGAGGTTGAAGCAATATCTGGCGCAGCTGCCAATTCTTCTGCCCGACCTTAGCCATTGGATGAATCCTGACCAGTGCTGACCTAATCAACATAGAATTGACGTTGTGATACGTTGTGCAATTGGATGCAATTCGGCAAAACAGACCAGCAAGTAAGTGGAGCGCTATCGCGAGAAAGCGCAGGTGGAGCTAACCTGGGGTGAGGACTGATTTGTGGTTCTAGACTCTGTACTTTGTTTGGTTCTTGGAAAACACCAGAAGATACCAGAAGGTTGGTTCCAGGAATTTGCGGATTGAAGAGTAGCAGAACATGATTCCTGCTACAGTAAAATGGAAAACATCTTTTCAAAGTGTGCTAATTCCTACTTGAAGTATCTTGAAGTAACTCCGAAAAGCAATCAAAGCTTTAAAGTGGAAGAAAAGCAGAGCGGCCAATGGAACATGCAGTCCTGGTGTTTCAGTCTGCATGTAATAGGAGTGGAAGGAAATTGATCCAAACAAAGCACTGCAGCACATTGTACAGTTGTGAACCACGCTGATACATTCTCCTGGACTGTGACATGCATGACTAAGCTCTTTACCATGGTGAGAGAGCTCTGCCTGAGATGATCTCTGCTCCGACCCGACAGGCAGAGCGGCCACACGTGACAGCATGAGCCACGAGCTGTTTCTTGTTTGAGGCTGCGGCCAAGTGGACCCTGAGGACCCTGAAGTGTGCCTGCGGGATATCGATGGATATCGGGCATTGTGTGGAGGACATCTTTCAAGTCTCCGCCTGAAGCGGACTCCTCCTCGTCGTCCTCACGACAACGATTGGACGAAGCATCCAACCTGGGAAGATCCGAAAAACGACTTTTCGATGATAAATCTTCAAACGGGAAAGTTGCTGCTTGTCCATTCTGGCACCGGCAGGGATGCAAGCAATGCTGGAGATGATCTGGAGATGTGTAAGTCTTTCAGGCCCTGACTCCAGTTCCACAACCATGTCTGCCCAGAAGATCTGCAAGAGCTGTGGCAATTGGAGGGATCCAAGAGAATACTGCTAAAGCTACTGGCTGATTTTACGCCATCATGCTTCAAGCAGCTTGGAAACAAGTAGATTGCCCCTAGACAAATCTGACATCCTTTGAATGTGTTCCTTGCATGTGCCATTTTCTGAGAGCCCATGGTTTGCAGGTTCAGTTCATGCACACCTTTCGCTACTTGGAAGAAATTTGATTGTTAAGGGGTCCTATTCGCTTGGAAGTTGTCAGGGATGTCAAAGGTGTCATTGGCACATCCACAGATTCACTGGGGTAATACAGTACATAAAAGTAGTCTCGAAAGGTACTCTGTCGAGCTACTCTGTCGCACCGGAGCGTGCACGTTGCAACCAAGCTACTCGGACAAGGGAGGTGATGAGGTTTTGCAAAGCCGTCGGCATAGCTGGATCCTTTCAGATCAACGTTCTGTCAACAGTTCCCGCGAAGTTGGCATCCAGGTTGAAATTGATTTCAGACTCTTTCACCATGAATCTGCCATTCTTATGACAGTCTGATTCCTTGGTGCATTGTCGAAGTATGTGCTGCTGCATCTCATCCTTGGAGACAACATGAGAATACATGAGACAACCATGTTGAAACAACTGTGTCAACTGCGTGGAAGGTGGACAGTGCTGGACAGAGTAGTTCTGACAGTCTGAGGTCACTGCCATTAGGCGCCTTCGCGCACTCTTGGAGAGTAAGAGCGGAAGAAAGGGCACGTTCATGGCGGCACGTGGCGGCACGGAGAGCCGAGGGCTCTTGTAGCCCTGGCAATCCCTGGCAGTTTAGTTTCTGGCCCAGGAAGCTGACAAAGCGCGCTTGAACGATCTTGAACGTCTCCTAAAGATTCCTAAAGCCATTACGACTTAGCGTAGACTTCTCATGTCGCCCTGAAGCCTTGCGGATCAATCCTTTGAGGTGATGGGAATACATGAAATGGGAAACAAGCTGGCAATCATATGCGGGTCAATGGGACTCAGACAGGAAGGACATGGTGTCATGGAAGTTCTTGCATCATCATGTACTGTATCATCTTGTGTCATCTTGTATCATCTTGTATCCATCTATGAAACAAAAGAAATTGTAAAAGCTGCGGGGCCGGTCTTCTGTAGGTCCAAGAGACTGCAAAATTCCCAGAGATTTTGCAAACATAGCAATGTGCACAGAAATGCGCATCATGTCACAGGTCTGCCAGAAACTCCTTGCAACTTGGCTCCACAGCACTTACGGTCTCCCAGGCACGTGGAGCTCCCTGCAAGTAGCGCATATCCTGCAGAGTTGACAACGAAGATTCCAAGATATTTCAAGTACCAAGTGCGATGTTGATAATCAAGCAATTCACGAAGGAAAACCCAAGAGCGTAGATTTATTTTGGGAACTCCGCGCTCTGCTTTCCACTTTTTGCCCTTTCCTCGTTGAGGCCGGGCAAGGTATCCGCCGCTCTTGCAGGGAGAGAATTGCGGTACTCATCCTTGCGTGAAACTCGGCTTGCTCTCTATTTTAGTGTATTATACTGGCTCGGACATTCAGATATTGCTTCCGACGTGGATTGTCTACAGACTACTGAGCATGGCACGTATTGCACAGCTGAAGCTGCTGGCTTTGCCACGTGCCTGTCCCTCAGACACATTACGTAGAATCTGATCGACAAGATTCAAATCAATGTATGTACAGTCATGGCAACACATGGCAAATGGCTGCACCATACAGTACCAATCTGTACCATTGCAAACATTTGCTGACCATTTGAATATCGCGGATCACTCTGCCGGTCTTGCCTGGAAGCCATGACAAGCGCCTGCTTCAAACCAAGTGGATCCAAGTGGAGCATTCTCAGGGGCTTTCCACTGCAGCTGATATCTGTTCTGTATGAAAATGCTGGAGTCTGTGCATGTGGTGACCAATACAAACCATAGTGAGAGTGTTCAATTACACCCTGGCGCCTGTGAATCAGGTGGACTATGGTGCCTTTGGATGATTGCCTGAAGTCTCGAAACAAACGAAACTGCCAATGTTGTGCCGGACGGATGTGGGCTTGCCGCAACAAAAGGATTGCAAATTCATGCAAATTCTAATGTTGATGGAATTCAAAACGTTGAAGCGTGCTGTATGCAATTCTATCCTCAGCACCTTTGAGACATGCTGAGCCACTGGGCTGTCTACCCTCCCTGCCCAATATGATCGCGACTGAAGTGTCACAAGATTTCTGCCCCGGCAGAAAACCCCCAAAGCACCATGCGCTCGCGCCTCGTCACTTCCTGCAGATTCTATGAAGTGATCTCAAACTGCTGAATGATCTGAATGAAGTGCACCATGTGAATCAATTTGACTGAGGTCAACCGAGCCTTTTTGCGAGACCCAGCCAAAAACATCCAGGAAAAGCACACTCTTGAAAGCACGCGGCAGCATGGCACCATTCTCCTGAAGAACACGTCAACAATGTTGGTAGTCTTTCACAACGCATCATGAAATGTATTGAAAATCATTGAAAATCAAAGTGTTCGCAACTCATCTGGACTCATCTCCTGTTCTTCGACCCGGACAAAGACTGTCATGATGCCCACGGCAATACCGTTGGAGATGTAGGCCTGCAAGGACGAAATCAGGCCCATGGTGCCATGGGATCAGACAAATGGCGACTCTGGCATCACCAGGCGCACCAGCGGTGCCAGGAGTTCAGCTAAATTGGTTTCTTCCCGGTGAAAGGCCCAGATGTACCTGCAGAACCAGTCGAAATCATTCATCATATTTCAATAATTTTCAATAGATTTCATCATTGGCCATGAAGATTCATGAAGATTCATGAAGATTCATGAAGATTCATGAAGATTCATGAAGCATGAACAAAGATAGCAGATGATATCAGGTCGGCGCACGCAGCGAAGAAGCTGAAGACGGGACCAACACCAACCAGCACTTGCAAAAATCGCTGCTGCCCTGTGGGCCTAATGCGATCTGCAACTTTGCTGTATCTGGGTGGATCTAGATGGATCTGGGATAATGCGACTTCAATACGGTAACAGGCTGGCAGTGGACGGTGCTACCCTTCCATGACTGTGCTGCGGACAGGGTGAGGTCCACTCTGGCCACAACCTCCAGACAGTCCAGGCGAGACTGACTCTGTTTGGAGCTGGTTTCCATTGGTTTCCATTCACTGAGACAAAGTGCGGAAAGTGGACTGAATCTGTGAATTTCCTGTAAATGTGTGTTCACACTTTGCACAGAAGTAATTCATCTTTAGTCCGTTCACGTTCAAGGAGGCTGTACTTGGCAGTAGCAACATGCTCATATGGCTAGCCATACATGGACTTTTGCACAGCAGCTCCAGCAAACTCACATGACGGTGGGTGTCTGCGTAGAGAACGTTCATTACTCCACTGCACTCAGCGACTGATACTGTGAGTTGTAGGTCAGAAGTCAAACCTACGTAGAGATGCCGGAGTTTGCCAAATGCAAATGACAAAAGAATGTTCACTGTCATCAATATGGATCAGAATCATTGACTATATATACGTAATGATGTATCCATATCTGTCGCCGGTTGCGCTCGGCCATGATTTAGCATGGCAAGCAGAGTTTTAATCGATGTGGCAAGCGACGCAACAAATCTTGCCAAAAACCCAAAGGTTTCAAAAGGTTTCGGAGAGTACATGGTCGCAACTGCTTACAGCCCTTCAAGTTTGTGCAGAGGCAAAAGACACCAAATTCATCCAAAAGACCACTTGGATTGGTACTGAAATATACTCTGCAAGTGAAGAGATGAATTTGTGATTTGGCCGGCTTGAAGGGTCAGGGCCCCTTGACCCACATGCAGTCGCTCAAGTCTCAATCCTGATGAAGCTGCCTAAGCTTGCAGAACAGCTAAATTACCGAGTTACCTTTTTTGATGCTGAAAAATCCAAGTGACTGTTGTGACTGTGTTTTTTCCCTTCCCAAATGCATCTGTGTCACTCTCTCAAGGCTTCGTTCTTGAGCAGCATCAGCTGGAGCAGGAGACATGCTGAAGTTATTCCAAGATATGCCATTTCACAATTCACATAATTCACAATGCTCAGATTGGCCCTGGCCTCGAATTCCTTGACGTCAATAACACCATCCTGGATGAAGTTGAAGTTGAAATACTAGTAGCAGCAACCAATAGCAATAGAAATAGAGAGAAGACCAAAATGGAAATAGAACTGAAATGTATAAATAGAATGAAATAATTATGAAATATGGAGAAATAGAAATAGAGAGAAGACCACAGGGTGCTGTCGGGGAGGGTGTTCCTAGCCAAGCACAACATAGAAATGCTCCTTGTCGACATCGAACTGCTGAACAAGCCTTTCAGCCTGCAAGGGAGGGTGGAGGACCAACGATGAGAGATCTTGTTAGGTCATACTTCTGGCTTCACACCAGGTTCAGTGTTTCATCCTGCGAGTAAAATGAACATGGCTTCACTGGGTTCACAGTGTTCTGAAGAAGCCTTCTCCTGGTTGATGCTCAAGCCAGCCATGATTTCTTTGACATCAAGCTTGCCGTTCCTTATTGCACTTGATCATAGCGGCTGCACATCAATACCCTGTAGTGAAACTACCCAACATGGAAAGCGCATGCTCTTGCTTTGGATTGCGTTGATGATCAGTTTTTGACGAAATGCAAGTTCAGTAGTCAACATTACGTTTCAACATAGAGGTAAACGTTGTTAAATAAATGCTACATACTGTTACATACAAATGTAAATGAATGTATATATATATAATGTCAATACATATAATGACATCCACAAACTGCGATCTCCGAGAGTCTGATCCTTGTCGAGGCCATGGAAGAAGTTCTGGCCGTGGCGCATTGGCAACAAATCCGACAGATTCCATGCTTATTTTTTTCACACCGCGCATTCACACCGTTCTGGCCCGCCTTGGCCTCATCAAAGAAGGAGTCTGTTTCAGGTTCTTTGGCTGCCTGCAAGATGAAGGGCGAAACTGCTCAAAATGCTGCACTGTAATGAAGGGCTTCACGCCACTGAAAATCCAGAACCCCAGAAGCTGTTCAAGCGCTGTTATCTTGCCTCCTTGGACCACTTTTTGAAGAAGTCATTTCCCTTGTTGTCAACAACCTCAACAAAAATCATCACGAGGCTTCAGTGAATACTCAAAACCTCCTGATGATCACCCTGGATTCGACACTGAGGCAGGGACGACAAAGGCTGGAAAATCTTCAACTTCAATCCTCCAAACAGCCTCCAAGGCATGCTCGACAGCATGTTGCAGCCATTGTCAGCCTCTGCAACAGCCACTGTCGAGCCACCTCCATTCCCAGCTCCTCCATGTCAAGAACTTCTACCTGTAAAAAAGCACTCCATGTGTTTTCAAATCTGCAAAAACCAGATCGCTCGGAGCTTCTCATCATGAACTTTGGTATCTCAAGAGCCAGCAATTTTCTAATTATAACGGAAAAATACGCCTGGACTGGAAGGTGAAAATCACATCGCCTACATGCAGCACATGCATCATACTCTGCGGCCTTCTTGATGCTGTTTGCACTCAAGGTGGCAGCCACTCCACCTCATTGTGAGTCGAGTCAAATGCAGAGTCCAAGGGGCATGCATTGCTGATCACTGAGTCCTTGACCAATCGAACCAAGGTAGAAGCCTATTTCAAGCAAATGAATGCGTTTCACATCGCTTCACAACGTGCTTCACAATCAATCTTGAGCCTCCGTGTTTTTTGCACGCATTGGTGACATCTTTGGATCTGTTGCCCTTCCTGGCGACGCAGAACAACTGTTTCAACAACTGCCATGCTAGTTCCAAATGCAACAGAAAGTGCCAGTCCCGATCATGATCATCGAACCACGCCTCAGAGAGGAAAAGAGAATACAAAGCGCTTGGATTCAATTTGAAACAATCATGATATCTCACAGAGCCAATGCAATTTGAAACAAAATGGCCAAGGGGCTGAGATTGGAAAGTGTCCACATACCTGAGCATATCAATGTCTCAATTGTCTCAATTGTCTCACGTAATTCACAAGAAACACACGCGTTCAATTTGAAATGAGGCGCTGGTCCATTCGGCCCGAGGTCGTCGGCCCAAAGGATCCAGATGGCATTCCAGCCGGCGTCTGTCAAAGATGGACACGCTATGCCGCTATGCTGTGCCACTGCATTTCGACCCAACACGGCACAAAACAAGCTACAAAACAAGCTACAATCTCGTCCTGAAACACTTGACGTCTCTGTCTTCCCTGCGACTATAGTTGTGAATCTGTCTGTCTGTTCCCTGCTCATATGCTTTGAAAAGCACATGCGCACCACGGCCTTTGCTGGACCAGCATAATACACAGGATATTGCTTGATGTAACTCGGAGGCAAAAGACTTTGACCAGGACAATGTCCGTTACGCATACCGACGTATGCTACCGTGAAATAGCTTTCACAATCAGAGTCAACGCCAGCACCACCACAGCGCACAATAGAAACAACGAAGCTGGTCATACGCTGCAATATGCTGCAATGCAGCCCAGTCAACCCAAGTTTGCTTGAGAGTCTGGCTCTGGCAATCCTTTGCCCGAATCCAGCATTTCCTGCCAGAAACACTTTGTTGCTCCAGCCAACTCTAACCTTGCTACACCGGTGAAATTTGGCATGGAATTCCAATGGCCAATGTTTAATTGGTTGGGCTTCTAACATCTTCTACACGTATATAATTCCAGATCCCTTTTTCAGGATTCCATGTTTGATTTCACAGGGCTTAGTTTGGGGGGCGGAATTAAGTTGGCATATTTTTGTTCATGGTGTTTTGTTTTGTCTTCCAGGTTCCCTTCCTTGGTTTTTGCAGCTAAAATATCTCATTCGCACTGTTCATCAATTTCTCCACTGGTTTCATGTGTTTTTCCATTGTTTTTATCGAGTGTTCCCTTGTTTTCATTGATTTGTCCATGGTTTTCTTTAATTTGTCCATAGTATTTTTTTCTCAGCCATGGTTTCATGCCGGTATTGGCATATGTGTGAAACCGTGGGCATGCGGAAGCGATCGGTTTTCAAAATTGGCGGCTGCGTGCACAGTTTAATAGTTCTTGGTTTTGTTGGGCGGTGTTTTCATACCTTCCTTTCCCTAAAGCATTTTCCCACGCGTATTTATTGGAGTATTGCGTCCATTGCTGCCTGGGGCCACCTACTCTTCTTTTACCTACGTCGAACGTTACTGCGGAATTAGGTTCATAACTAACCCGCCTAAGCGGGTCATTATCATTGCTACGTAAAATATGCCCCGCTAGTCTAATTCGTCTATCTATTAACAGGTCAGAGAACAGTTTAATTTTCAGCGGGGTCCCAGGTTGATGTCCAAGCTCTTCGTTGGCCTTTCTTACGACAAATTCATTGGTGTTTTGCCGGTTTACATAGGTAGTTGTTAGTCCTAATATCTTCCTCAGCCCTCGGAGCTGAAAGGCATTGACTTTCCGTTGTAAACTTTGCGTCAAGTGTACCGTTTCTAGACCGTATAGTAGTTTGTCCATAGTATTCTTCAATGTGTCCATGTTTTTTTCAATTTATATGGTTTTCTTCGCTTGTTCCATGGTTTTCTTCCATTTTTCAATGGTGTTCTTCAATGTTTCTATGTGTTTCTTCAATTTGTGTATGGTTTTCATTCATTTTTCACTGGTTTTCATTGATTGTTCCAGAGTTTTCATTGTTATTTTGCATGATGTTCATGGATTTTTCCGAAGTGTTCATTGATTTTTGGAGATACACGATGTGCAAACTATAAAGTGTAGATGTATAGAGGTATACATGCATGACTAATCATGAATATATGCATATGTAGATCAGTGTATTTATACGTGTATTTAATATATCTGCAGGGTTGATTTAGGGCTTATTTAGGGTTGGTTTAAGGTTTCTTTAGGGCTGGTTTAGGGTCTGTTCAGGGTTGGATTAGGGATTATTTAGGGATACAACATGTACAAATAACTATAATTATGTGGATGCAAATCCATGCAGCACATGATTATTTATAGTTTATTTTGGGATGAAAGCTGTGCATATAAACAACCATAACTATGTATAAATATATATATATGTAAATATGTAAATATATATATATATAGATTGTATGTATGTATGTATGTATGTACGTACGTACGTACGTATGTATGTGTGTGTGTATGTGTATGTATATGTGTGCATGTATGTGTATGTATGTGTGTATATGTATGTATATGTATGTATATGTATGTATATGTATGTATATGTATATATATATATATTTATTATATATGTATGTATGTATGTATGTACGTACGTACGTACGTACGTATGTATGTATGTATGTATGTGTGTGTGTATGTGTATGTATGTATATGTATGTAGATGTATCTATATGTATGTATATGTATGTATATGTATGTATGTGTACGTATGTATATGTTTGTATGTATGTTTGTATGAATGTATGTATGTATATGTATGTATATGTATGTATATGTATGTATATGTATGTATATGTATGCATATGTATGTATATGTTTGTATATGTATGTATATGTATGTATGTGTACGTATGTATATGTTTGTATGTATGTTTGTATGAATGGATGTATGTATATGTATGTATATGTATGTATATGTATGTATATGTATGTATATGTATGTATATGCATGTATATGTATGTATATGTATATGTATATGTATGCTTTTTCACCAACCAATTCTGCAGTAAGTTCGATGCTAGCAAATCTGAGATGTGTGTCAGTTGCAATGTTGTTGACAGTCGTGCCCACCGATACACAACATGCAGCAGATATGATCAGGTGCGATCTCGGCACCAGCAGTTGTTTGAAGAATGGCATTTGTTTCCTACATGTTTCCAGCTATACGGTTTGGTGCCAGCCAATCCATGGCAGGTGCTCCTTTGGGAAGCTTTTCTTGCCTTGCCAAGTTTGGTTAACAAGTATGAGCTAACACCAACTGGACGAACCTGGCACCTTTTCACTGACGGCACATGCAGTGCACCTCAAGATCTTGATTTGGCACTGGCCGCCTGGGCCGTGGTTTGGGCAGATCATGGTACGGTAGCATGTGGCTACCTCTCTGGACTTCAACAAACCATTTTGCGCGCCGAAGCAACAGCAGTGTTAAGTGCACTGGGGTGGATTGATCAACAGGAGGGGGTTTTGCACCTATGGATCGATTCCCAGACAGTGATTGACAATCTGCGTGACTTGCTTCGAGGCACCGGGGTTGCGTCGGACTTCGAGCACCCTGATCTCTGGAAACAGATAGAGGCCTTGCTTCAAACTGTGAAAGCCGAAGTTGTCCCACACAAAGTTGTCAGCCATTTGCCGCAGTCTGAGTGCCTTAGCCCTTTGGAAGACTGGACACGAAAGTGGAATGAAGCAGCTGACTCCCAAGCCGACTTGGCAAATCTGACTCGGCCCATTTTCTTCAACAAAGTTTGGGTTCGTTTCCAACAACATAGGCAGAGCTGGAAAGCACGAGTGAGTTTGATCACCAAGTTTCAAGTTGAAGTAGCAGCACAGGACTGTACTGATGAGAGCGTAGAGGAAGAATTAGAAGAACAGGGGTTCGACGTTTCACGTTTTGATTTTGTCACTAGTTTGAACCATGCCGAGACTTCTGTACATTTATCCACTTGGCTTCAGGTTTCAGGTAGTTTTCATTGCGGTTTAGGATCACAGGCTGATCAGCTTTTGCTTCAGCTGTGTCAATGGTTAGTCACAGTTGATGCAAGTGCCTCTGAGATGCGTTTAGTTGCCATTGTCGAGATTTTTGTTGCTTTCAGGCTTCATGTTGGGGGTGCCCCTTTGTGTGTTGCCGGAGGCGATGTTGATAGGTATTCTTTGGTTTCTTTTGCCCGTGACTTTTCGTATTTTCGTAGGTTGTGGAAGCTGTTGGAAACTGGCACTGGCATCACGTGGACTAGTGGGCAAATAGATCTAACACAGGTCCGAATTTTGCCTCTGCAGAAGGCTGTCTGGTTGGGATGGCCTCGCGAAGTCGAGTTGCCGGTCTTGCAGGCACTCGATGAATTTGTGGGCGCACGCCCTATTTCCAATTGTCAAGGTTTCTCTCGACCTTGGCGCAATTAGAGCTGAGACTTTTCGGACATGCGGGCTGCGCGAGCTGCCTGCATGCTTGCCTCAAGCCGTGCGCAATATGTATATGTATGTATATGTATGTATATGTATGTGTATGTATGTGTATGTATGTGTATGTATGTGTATGTGTATGTGTATGTATGTGTATGTACGTGTATGTATGTGTATGTATGTATTTAGGTAGGTAGGTATGTATGTATGTATATAAGTATGTATATATATATATATAAACAAAATATGTATATATATATATTTAAATATATAAATATAATGTGTATATATATATAGTCTAGTCAAACTAGTGTATTGAAAAGTGTACAAGTTTGAATTTAATTTAAAAAAAGCGGGGGAGGGCGCAGCGCCTCCTCCCAAGCCAAAGCAGATTGGACGCACCTATTTTCACATGCAAGATGCTGGGTTGGTATATACTACACGACATGCGCCCTGGAAACATGTGGAATGTAGGTTAAGGCACAATGATGCACAATAGTTTCATTGGTTGTTCTCTCATCGTGTTGGTTTAGGATCTCTTTATATAAGGTTGGTGTAATGTATATTCTGGCTTGGTTCAGGGTTGGGGTGGGGGGTTGAATATCATCTCGATGATAATGCAAACCTTTTAGATAGATAGATATAGATATATATATATGTAGATATAGATGTAGATATAGATATAGATATAGACATAGATATAGACATAGATATAGACATAGATATATGCATAGATATAGACATAGATATAGACATAGATATAGACATAGATATAGATAGATATAGATAGATATATAATATAGATAGATATAGAAGTGGAAATAGAAATAAAAATAGATATAGAATTATATATATATATACATAGACATAGATGTAGATATAGATGTAGATATAGGGATGGATGGATGGATGGATGGATGGATCGATCGATCGATCGATCGATCGATAGATGATACTCAAGGTGTATCTAATGCACAACATGCACCTGGTGAACACGCTTCACTGATAGATAGATGATAGATGAGCCATAGGAGCCAGGAGCCATAGAAGCCATAGAAGCCACAGAAGCCGCAGAAGACACAGAAGCCACCAGGAGCCAGGACAAAAAAAAAATGCAAAAAAAAATACCCCTCCCTTGGTTTGTGTGGCCGATAGTCCCGATGTAGAGGTATGTGTGTTAGTCAGTACCCTACACTGAAGATCACACAACGTGCTGCTCGGCTCCTGCATCTTAGCGTGGGCAATATCTCGTGCTACAATGATTGTTCCAGTCCTTAGTGGCTTCAATCTTGACACCAACAAAAGTCCGCTTCAGCGTGGCCAACAGTTGAAAGCTTGAGAAGATCAACAAATACCACCATATACCACCACTTCGCGCACTTTGGCATGGATGGGATCCCCACAATGCCAGACGTGTGGAAACTGGGAACTGGCTCAGGAACTTGAGGTTCTCCTGCTCTGGACGCCGTCTCCATATTCGCAGGGAAAACAGTGCCGTCATCTTTACATCCAGCATCATGTGTTAGAAGATAGAGACAAATTGAATCCACTTCAGAACGGTCAGATCTCGCCTCCATTGGCTTGTTCAAGTCTACCTTCACAATTTCTCCTGAAACATGGGACACATTGAAATGCAATATTGTGGATCGAGACCAGCAAAGTTTCTCTGGAATGGCCAGGGATGTATCAAAATGTACATTTTGAGAGGAGTCCTCCTTTCTCCAAGGACTTCTCTGTGATGTCAGGCAAATACCTTGGAAAGCACAACTATGCATCTCCGCTCCTTATTCTTTGCCATGAAAAAGTTCAATCTGAGAACAGCAGAGGGCGATGCTTTGCTGGGTCTGTCTCAAGCTTTTCGAGGAAAACACCTTCCTCAGTGATCTTCGCCTCTCCAAGCGGCAAATTCTGAAAGGACTTTTGTCGGACACAAGAAAGACATCAAGCTGCAGAGACCAGAAAAGACCAAGAAAGACTATACAGTTATGATTGAGATGGACAGCACTGACAGCACGCTTATTTCCGATGATTTCCGTAGGCCTTGGCTTGCCTGTCTGCCGAGCATGACACTCCGATTCCAACTGGACAGGAAGCACCTCACATCAAAATACATCAAACTCAAACTGAAGTGCAGCAAAAATGGAGTGAATCAAGATGAATCGGAAGCACAAATGCAAAAAGTGTCCAAGTTCAGCCAATCAGGACCTCAAAACCTGAGCTGGAGAACCGTGGCGTGGAAGCCGAACCACTCTGACATCGTGCAAGAAGTACCTGGCATCCAATGCTCCACTTTAGAACACCAAAATATGGAACATGATTATGGCAAGATGTTCCGAATCCCAGCATGCTAAAAAGGACTGAGGGCTCACTTGCCGCCAAACTGGGCTCCAATGCCAAGTTCCTTCCAAGTGCCAATCAAGCGCCAATCATCGTTCGATGTACTGAGATGTGTTCAGATGTGCCAAAGACACAAGCTGCGAAAGCCATCTCCTGGGACAACCTGCGAATCTTCTCCTCAGGGCAGTGCAGGGCAGTGCCGTTTTTTTAAGTCGTGGGTTGTTGCACTGGGATTTTCTGGTTCAGGTCATCCAGAAGTGACATGCACTGTCCTCCCACTCCACATCCCGAAAGGCTCTTCCCAACTTGTTCCCAGAGGTGGGCAAACCATCGAGGTATTTGCAGCTTGCCAACTTGACCTCGATTCGATCGTCAGAGTTTCTGCCTACTAGGGAACGAACAGGGAACGAACAGGGAACGAACAGTGGGAATGCCTCCAGATTGCTACCCTCAGCTTCGCAAAGGGTTCTCTGAGTGTCGTACGGTCTTCAGATTCTGCTCTGCAGAGAGGCCACCAACAACCAGTGCAAGATGGTACCTCTGCTACCACGAAAACTTAACTTACCAACCAAAGCAAATCCAGACCCCAGGCGAATATTGCAAATGTATGCAAATGTCAAGTCTTCATTCCTATACAATACAATGTGCGTATGAATTGCATGCTATGACATTTTGTCGCACGGAGGGCAGGCGGCCGTGCCGATGTTCTGGACTTGCTCAGTGACAAAGTCCATGAAGGCCTACACGAAGCTCAGAGTAGCTGGATCTTTCCACAGGGAAAGGATGTCAAAACATGTAAAGTGCTCCCCAGCTATCCCCCGAACGTGAAGACAGGTCCATAGGGAAATAAATAAGGAAATAAATATGGAAATAAATAGGGAAATAAATAGGGAAATAAATAGGGAAATAAATAGGGAAATAAATAGGGAAATAAATAGGGAAATAAATAGGGAAATACATAGGGAAATAAATAGGGAAATAAACAGGTGAATAAATAGGGAAATAAATAGGGGAATTAATAGGGAAATAAATAGGGAAATATATAGGGAAATAAATAGGGAAATAAATAGGGAAATAAATAGGGGAATAAATAGGGAATAAATGGGGAAATAAATAGGGGAATAAATAGGGAAATAAATAGGGAAATAAATAAGGAAATAAATAGGGAAATAAATAGGCAATAAATAGGGAAATAAATAGGGAAATAAATAGGGAAATAAATAGGGCGGA